TAATTAATTAATTAAATAAAGTGGTGATACCATTTTTAAAAAAAACATAAAATAATAGAAGAGCAAAAGGCCAAGACCACTGGACCCAATGGGCTGTCACAATCTCTTGCTCAATTTCCAGCCAGTTCTCAGGCCCAGACCTCATCTCCAAAAGTTTCCTTCCCATGACAAAGGATCCAGCAACACCGGAAAACATTTACAGTGGGGATTCTCCTAATCCTGCAAAGGGACCTATGTCCATTTACTCAGGTAACTGTATGTTGGAGAAAGGGAAAACCCGGATCATTTTAGAGCTGTTGGATTCAGGCTCCATGTTAACACTGACACCTGGGACTCAAAGTGTGATCGTGGTCTCCCTGTTAGAGCTGGGTGTAGAGAGGCCGGGCATTGCGGGGGACTGGCCCAGCTCCACGCACGGTGGGCCCGCGGCGTTCCTGACCTATCCACTGGTTATTTCTCCAGCTGTGGAATGTATAATTGGAATAGACATGTTTAGCATTTGGCAGAACATCCACAATGGTTTCTGACCTTTAGAGTAAGACCTATTTTGTGAGAGTTCCTGAACTGCCCCACCCCCCACAAACATTAAAAAAACAACGTTGCCTCCCAGGAAGAACCGCAGACGTGACTGTCATAGTTAAAGACTGAAAGGATGCAGGGTGGTGGTCTCTAGCAAATCTCGATTTGATTCATTAGTCTGGCTCCTTCAAAATCTAGATGGGTCATACAGCACCTCTTCATGATAAAACACTCAAGAAACTTGAAATAGAAGGGAACTTCCTCAACCTGATAAACGACATCTATGAAAAACCCACAGCTAAAGTCGTACTCAATGGTGAAGACTGAATCTCTTCCCTCTAAGATCAGGAACAATACAAGAATGACCACTCCCATCACTTCTGTTCGACATTGTATTGGAGGTTCTAGCCAGGGCAAGTAGGCAAGGAAAAGGAGCAGAAGGCATGCAGATTATAAAGAAGTAACGACCTCTGTTCACAAATGACATGATGGCACATATAGAAAATCCTATAGAATTCACAAAAAACTATTAGAATTAATAAACAAATTCAGCAGATTGCAAGATACAAGATCAGTGGACAAAAATCAATTGTATTTCTCTACACTTGCAGTGAACAATCTGAAAATGAAATTAAGAAAAACATTCCATTTACAATAGCATCAAAAAGAACAAAGTACCTCAGGATAAATTTAACTAAAGAAGTGAAAAATTTATACTCTGAGGGCCGGCCCCATGGCTTAGCGGTTAAGTGCACGCGCTCCACTGCTGGCGGACCGGGTTCGGATCCCGGGCACGCACCGACGCACCGCTTCTCCAGCCATGCTGAGGCCGCGTCCCACATACAGCAACTAGAAGGATGTGCAGCTATGACATACAACTATCTACTGGGGCTTTGGGGGGAAAAAATAAATAAGTAAAATCTTTAAAAAAAAAAACTTATACTCTGAAAACTACAAAACACTACTGAAGGAAATTAAAGAAGATCTAAATAAATGGAAGACATCGCATGTTCATGGATTGGCAGAATGAATTTAAGATGGCAATACTCCTCAAATTGATCTACTACAGACTCAACACAATTTCTATCAAAAGTCTAGCTAGCCTCTTTGCAGAAACTTGTAAGCTGTTCGTAAAATTCATATGAACCCTATTCAAGGGAACCAGAATAGCCAAACCAATGTTGAAAAAGAACAGAGTTGGAGGGCTCACACCTCTCTATCTCAAAACTGACAGGAAAGCTACAGTAATCAAGACAGTGTGGCACTGGTATAAGGATAGATCAATGGAGCAGAATTCAGAATCCAGGAATAAGTCCTCACGTTCATGGTCAATTGATTTCCCTCAGGGGTGGAAAAACAATTCAGTGGTGGAAAGAATAATCTTTTCAACAAATGGTGCTGAGACAACTAGATATCCACATGCAAAAGAATGAAGTTGGATCCCTAGCTCACACCATATACAAAATGATCAATCAAAGGGCTAAAACTATAAAACTTATAGTTTATAAAACATCGGGGTAAATCTTCATGACCTTGGATTTGGCAGTTGTTTCTTAGATACAACCTCAAAAGGACAAGCAACCAAAGAAAAAAATAGATACGTAGGACTTATTCAAAATTTAAAAATTTTATGCTTCAAAAGACACCATCAAGAAAGTGAAAAACAACCCATAGAATGGGAAAAAATATTTGCAAATTATATATCTGGTAAAGACTTGTATTCTGAATGTGTAAAGAACTCTCACAAACCAAAATAAAAAGAGAAATAAACCAAATTTCTAGGACTCCAGTGGTCCTATGATGGGTGTCCCTTGCTGGAACACCCCCTCAGAGTAAAGGACAAGTAGTTGCGCCCTGCACCTCCCCCCCGGGAGAGAGCGCGGGGCAGGGACGCTTCTTCAGGTTTTGGAGGCAGCATGTCCTGCACTTGGGAACACTGCCATGAGCCATTTTTTGTGTGATACAGAGCCTGCCAGCTTTGAGTCGAGCCCAGAGCAGGAAAGAGGTCTGCAGCAGGTCCAGGCTTTGGCACAAGCAGCCCTGTACCTGGCCCTGTGACCTGGGAGAGACTGTGGCCAATGCTACAGCAGAGAAAGAGTTCACCTGGGGCCTCTGGTAGATTCCAGCAGGAGAGCTGTCCTCTCCTCATGGCTGTTGGTACCTCCATGCAACGTGGGAGCTGGATTCAAAGAGCAAGCATCCCAAGATGAGAGAGAGAGAGAAGCTGTATCACCCAGCTGTGTGACCCGGCCTCAAAAATCACATAGTGTTACTTCTGCCTCATTCTATGGATTAGAAGCAAGTCACTAAGCCAGCCCATGTTTAAGGAGAAGGCAATTAGATTCCACCTCTTGAAGAGAAGAGTGTCAAAGAATTTGCTGACATATTTGAAAAGCACCACAGTGGGCCACTTACGAAGGTGGGCTGGTGAAGAGATGGGGTATGTGCAGAGGTGGACGGGTGGAGAGATGGTGCATTTACTGAGATGGAGAGGTGTGTAGGTGACCCATTTATCAAGGTGTGGAATACCAGGCAATGGACGGATTTTGAGATCTTGAGTCCTTTCCGGGCATGGTGACTGGGAAATGTTTATTGGTGATGGAAGTGGAGACACGGAGCATGTACTGGGAAGATGCTAGCCTGGAGCAGAGCGAGAGGCCAGGCCGGAGGTATCAACTGGGGAGTCATTGTCACAGAGATGGTATCTGAAGCTTCAAGGCTGGAGAGGGTCACCAAGGGTGAGAATGAGGAGGGATGAAGGAATGGCCAGGGCCGTGAGGAGGAGGGTACAGCCTTCCTGACCGCTGACCCTGTTTCCCCCATTCTAGCGGAATCAGCCTTTGATGGGTAGTCGACCCCCATGCGCTCTCTGATCTAATGGTGAGCATGCAGTTCTGTGAGGGAGGCTGGCTGGGAGAGGTTTCCACGGTCATCCAAAGGGACATGTGGGAACAGATGGGAGGTCTGGGAACATGGCAGCCATCTTGCAACTAAGAGGCAGGGCCACTCACAGAGGTGGTGGCTCCTTCACTGAGCAAATAAACAAGTCCTGGGCACCCTATATTGGGACTTTTGTAACCAGAGTTGAGTCAGCAGGTTCTGTCACTTGAAGGCCAAAACGTCCTCACTGATACTGGAGTGGAGTCAGCAAAGGAGCCTGAGGATGGGCTGGTGAGGCAGGAAGAGGGAGGGAATGTGAGTGTGTTGCCCTGCATCTGCACCTACCACTCATGGACCCCGGGCTGACTGGATTCTAACATCTCACACATCCTAACCAGGTAAGCCCTGAGAGCACCTCCAGTTAGGTCACTGTTGTTCCACAGGTTTATAGATTGGGAAACCCAGGCACAGGGAAGTGAAGGAACCTATGGAAGGTCCCACAGCCAGGAAGTGACAGTGGGGGTATAGGCCACGCAGTGTACTGATCTGTCCTTGGAGCCAACAATATCTTTTCAGAGGTCCAGAGAAGAGGGCCGCAAGCAGAAGTCCCCGACGGCAGTCCCGTGCTGCCTAATTGAAGATGAAACCGTCTTCACTGAATTTGTCAAAGAGCAGGTCACCAGCAATGTCGGGCGGAATGAGGCAGGGGATGGTGTGGACAGGGTGGGACCGGCCTGGGTTGAAAAGTGAGGAGGTGGAGAGTCAGCTGTGGAGCCTGGCTGTGAGGAGGGTGGGGCAGGGGTGTTGAATGTTTTGGGGGGATTCTGGGACATATAGGAAAGCGGGAGGAGGGGCGGCTCCAGAGCGCTGAAGTGGAGCCTCGGATGGGGTCTGCAAGGTTCCCCTGACCCAGGAGAGAAGGCGGAGAATTGGGGGCACGGGGCAGCGAGGTTGCGAGTTCGGTGATGAGCGGAGATAGCTTTGTGACTGCGCCCCCATTTCCTCCAGGAGGCTGAGACCCCGGCTCCGAAGTGGGTGGGAGCTTGGGGGCCAAACAGTGGTGGGATCGCAATGTCGCCGATGGCGTTGGGCCCCATTTGAGGTCGAAGCCCAGGAGTTTTGGGGCCAGGAGACTGCGAAATTTGGGTGGGTTTCTCCAGACTTGTTCATCTGCCTCAGCAGGCCCCAAAGGGGACAAGAAGCCAGCCCTGGCCGCGGTGGCTACTGAAGGAGGGCACCCAGGGGGCTGCCAGGGTCGGGGCGTCCTCGGAGCGGCTCCCCAGCGACAGGGCGAGGATCGCTGGCCCGGCGGGCAGTGGGCTGCGGCCCTCCGCGGCTTCCCAGTGGCGTCCCCTGCTAGCCCTGCCGTACAGAAGGATGGACGCGGGGCACAGGGCTCCCTGCGCGCCCCCTCCCCGCGGCCGGCCGGCCCCCACGCGCCGATGCGGAGCAGGATCTCCCGCCGCCGCAGCGGGGATTAGCGCGCTCGTGGCGAGCGCGGCGGGATTAGCCCGCGTGGACTCGGCGCCCGGCCCGGGGATTACGGCGCTCGCCCCCCGACATATATATTCTCGCGGCGTCGGCGGCGGGGCCAGGTCGGCATGGCGGCGGCGGGGGGCGCGGCGAGCCGAAGGGGCCCCGGGCGGCCCTGCCCTTTCTCCATCGAGCACATTCTCTCCAGCCTGCCCGAGCGCGGCC